TTATAACTCATCCCTTTTGTGTGGTGACACACATTCTGCTGGTTATCTGAGCATGGAGGAGCCAAAACAAAATTACATAGGTTGTATACCGCAACAGAAGTGTGCAATCTTGTCATTTTAGTAGGCCCCATTTACTGCTTCTTCTCCCCGAAAAAGGTCAAGCCTTAAATGTAACAAGTTGGGTTATATTTGCCAACTTTTAAACTTCATTGAATTTACTTTTCCCCCTTTTTATCCCTAATGCTTATACAAGCATTAGCCAGAAAGTGGTAGTGGAAATGCCACTTTTGCAAGAATTGGGGGTGGCGGGCTTGAGGGTTTTATAAACCTCTGGCTTGGCTCCTCAATCTGAGATGTTTGTCCATCAGGTACAGGCAGAGCTGATCTCAGACTGCAGTAGTCTCAGGTTATCCTGTACCTGCTTATGGGTTTGACTGCTCCCTTGCTTGGCTACCTGTGTTCTTTACAGTAGAAATGTCAGCATCAGTGGTATCTAGTTATTTCCAGACTGCTGGCCCTCACAGACCATGATCTAGGACAAATCCTAGATTGAGGTATTCTGGTTGTTAATGGCCTTATAAAAATCAGACAAGAACCTTGCATCTGGCTGGCCTGGTAGAGTTCAAGGCAGTGCACGCTTTTGAGAACTGGAGTTTTGTGCTCAAATAGTTGTGGAGGTATGAGGGGCAGTAGGACCTCTGATGCACTTCCTAATATGGTAGAGGTCTGTCTTTGGCAAACAGCTTGATTCAAGCAAACAGCTTGCTCAGCTTCAGCGTGTTAGCAGTTGGAGGAGATTGTAGTTTGCTGTGCTGAGCAACTGTGAATTTTCTGCATTCAGCCAGCCTATCTGAAAGCAGGAGAAGGTTCTTGTGGACCTCAGCTCCAAACATGTTGTAGGTCTGGTATCTGATAAAACTAGTAAGATATTCCACTGGCTGTAATTTAGAATTATCTAATTAATAGGCCAGGTCAGAATATTTCAGCCACTTTGTGTCCTGGTGCGATTAATTTTGGATAGAAATGTGCTTGTTTATTTATTTGTTTGTTTGTTTGTTAAAATTTATATCCCTCCTTTCCTCCCAAAGGGCCTTCACACTTTCTTGGCTTAAGTAATAACTGGAAAGATGATAAAATTTGAAGAGACTGGAAGGTTTGAGTGCATCTCTTATATCCTGTTTTTGCTGACTGATGCATTTTCAGAGGAAAGCTGAGAGGAAGGCTGTAAGATTTAGTGATTTTCTAAGCAATATTGTTGTCGTCTCCAAATGCCCTAGGACGAGAGGAGGAAGTGACCTCGAATCTCTTAAAAGGCACTCTGTGCACTTATCGGCCTACTCTATATGCTGCTGCAACCTGTCCGATAACATCAAATCGGCTTCCATGCTCAAAGAGCCATGCAAGCTTTGCCCAGATGAAGACTCTGTCATACAAAACCTTTCATTGTGCTGTCATCACTGACAGACAATTGCTTTTCCAGCTAATTAAGCACCGACCTTTGTGTTAGCCAGAGCTTTTAACATATGGTTCTACCAAGCACTATCTAAATTATATTAAGTAAATTAGTCTTTTTTTGACAAACAGCTGATTTCCCTAGGTAGGCTTGAAATATGACTCTGAGGCTGTGGAGCCTTACCAACTTAGGCTTTCACAGTATTAAGTCAATGCAAAAACTCCTATACATTTTAAATAAGGTCATTTTTTTCAATCCAGCGATTCCTAGGCAACCTAATCAACTTTGAGCAGAACAAGGAGACCTCACAACTACTTCTTTTTTTTAAAAAAAAAAGTAACAACACCCTGCTTTTCTCTTCACTCAAAAGAAAGCAACTATATAAACATGGCATTATTCCATTTGTCAAAACACAAATTAACAAAACTAAGCAGCAAAGCAAAGAGCAGCTTTTGAAATTGGTACATTAAGCAGTGACAGAATCAAACGCTTGTTCAGAAAAGGATTTTTTGAGTTGCCATTGGAACACAAGTAAAAGGGGGAAGAGAACTTAAATTTCCTAGAGCAGGAAGACAAGGCGCCACCAGAGGAAAAGCCACCAACTCTGCCTCAGAAGGCAATGGCACATGTCAGAGGGCCGCAACAGCCAACCTTACTAGACAGGCAGACTCACAAGAGAGAAGAAAGGTTCTTCAAGCAATGCACTAATGCTTCAGCACACTAGCCCAGAGGTGCAAGGATATTGCTTTTCAGAAACTGACAAAATAAAAACAATGCAGGGAATCCGGGGAGATGGATAACAGTTTGGGGATTTTTTTTACAGCATAAGCTTTCATTGATTAGAGTCCACTTCATCAAATGCATACAAGTGGGGAGAGGACAAGTGTGTGAAGGAACGAGCAGGCCCCCAAAACTGAGGTTGCTAATGATTTGGCTGGGATACAGAGACCAGGTACACCAAGCAGCTTGGGTACACCAAGTAAGATTTCTAAATGCCCACCACCACCACCACGATTGACTTCCATGCCATTATCACAAACTGCCTCCCCTCAGTTTCAAAAGAAGTTAGGACCATGAGAAGATGCCTTACACCAGGCCACACCATTAGTCCATCTGGCTCAGTATTGTCAACATGGATGGGAAGCAGCTTTCCAGGGCTGCAGCCAGTAGTCCTTACCAGCACTCTCTGGGTTTACTGGAGATGGAACTTTTTACATGCAAAGCATCTACAGTGGTACCTCGGGTTACATACACTTCAGGTTACAGACTTCTCTAACCCAGAAATAGTACCTTGGGTTAAGAACTTTGCTTCAGGATGAGAACAGAAATCGTGCTCCGGCAGCGCGGCGGCAGCAGAAGGCCCCATTAGCTAAAGTGGTGCTTCAGGTTAAGAACAGTTTCAGGTTAAGAACGGACCTCTGGAACGAATTAAGTACTTAACCCGAGGTACCACTGTACTCTACCACTGAACTATGGCCCTTCCCTATGACTTCATGTTTTATTTGACATGTATTGTGGGGGGCGGCTGAGACACTTGGATCTGTCTTGGGCAAGCAGAACAACTCATGTGTTATTTGGATCCGAATCATCAAATGTAAGACTTACTGTAGAATCCTATATCATTGGGTGCGTGCATTTTGTTCTGTTTTATTGTGTTGCAGAATGAGGGACAGTACTTTATATCATGCTACATAACAAAAATAAAAGCAGTAGTAGTGGTTGTTATTTATTACTGTTAGAATCATCATCATCATTATTTATTGAATATAATTTATTACATTTATAACCTACTCTTCCTCTCAAATGACCCCAGGGCAGCAAACACATGATAAAACAGTAAAAAAAAACAAAAAACAAATGCACTTGTATCAGCAAGTCATCCCTAATCAGTCCGTGCTTTTCATAATTTTTTCTTTCCTGGTCTAAAGGCTTTCTGTAAAGCTATACGATACAATTTTAAATCCCCTCCTTAATAACTTTCCATGCTGTAACTTGATTAATTTACCCAGGCAGTTGAGAAGACAGTGTCTTATGTTTCAAGCTGTAGAGTCTTTCCGGAAATGCCAAACCCCTCCCACAAAGGAAAGATTAAGTAGTTCAGGAAACTGTAGGTTTGGAACATTCTTGCTGGGCCACAATGAATCAACAGAGAGCAAATGTAACCATCAGAAAACTGGGTCATAGACAGTATAAGCCAGCTCTTGCCAAATGTCTGTGCAAGCCTATTCAAAAATATGCTTCGTTTACATTTGCGATTTACTCAGGGTATTAGTGAAAATGATAAAATATCCTGTTCAGCGGGAGTCCATTCAAGCTTTGAATCTGTGGGATGCTTTGAACTTACCCTGTGTTTCTTTCCAAGTTGTACTGAAGCATGACTAGAGTTGACGTTTGATCCCAGAAATGCTTCCTGGCTTGCAGTTATCCATCTTGTTACTTTCCCTTTCTTTTTATTTCTTCCTGTAACTTTGGAGCAGGGGTGGCAGCAATCCACAGTGCAACATTTACTGAGAGAGCAGAAAATGTATTACCTAGTGAATCTAGCTGCAGCATTGGTCAGATGCGGCTGTGCTGTTTTAGACCGAGGCAGGGGGACTGATCTTCCCTAGTTGTTGATGAGCTCCAACTCCCATCACTTCCAGCCAGCATGGCCAGTGGTCAGTGACGATGGGAGCTGTAGTCCAACAGCATCGGGGAGCGAGGGCTACACATTCCCCATCCCTGCTTTCAATGAAACAGCAAGTGCAATCTGACAACAGGTGTTGATAGCAGTATGTATACTTTGTGCCCACCAACTTGAACAGGTGGATGGGACAAGCCACCTGTCAATCGAGTGGCATCATTATGATATCAAACAGCTGATAGGTGAGTTGCTCCACCCACTTGTGAAAAGCTCTTGCACAGCATTTTAGCCAGCTGGTTATTGGGTGCTTAGGAACTGCAACACAAGGGGCTTGCTCAACACCAAGTACACAAAAGCTCTTAAGAGAAATTCTGTATCTCTGCACAATTCAAGATATGACTGTGAGCTAGAATTTAAAGCAGAAGAGGGCAAATGCTTTATGAGCTTGGCAATGTAATAATTAGCAAACATACACTCGGAAATAAATACTGTGTATTTTACAGAGTTAAGGTAGCCCCATGGAACAGAGTGAGCAAGCATGCATGGAATTGCAGTGTAAGTGACAGAACTATAAACCAGAAAGACTCTTCGTCTTCCACATAATGTTAGCAACAGGCTTTATGTGCTCCCCACCTCTCAAAAGTGGCCTGAAGATCTCACCTGATGAACACTGGCCTGAATTATTTCCCTATCGATATGGCCCCTGACTTTTGTTCCTCATGGGAATCTATTCTTCTCTTGGCCTTTATGGTGTTTTTTTCTGTATTCTTTTGCCGTTCTTTGATTCATTATTAAAACCTGGTGATGAGATTAATTTTCCTTCAGTAACTCTTTGAAGCTCTGGCAGCACCTAATTAACTCTGGCATGTATTAACTTTTCAGCTGTGTCTGACATGATTCTGCTCTTTTGTTTCTTTATTATAGGTTTTATATATACAGGGGAAGTTGTGCATCGAATGCTAACAGCTACGCAATACATTGCACCTTTGATGGCCAACTTTGACCCTAGTGTGTCAAGAAACTCGACTGTCAGATACTTTGATAATGGTAAGTATTAATCCTTCTGCCAAATTATCCTTTAGCTCTTCTTTTTTTGTCCTTTGTAGGAAAATAAACACTGAAGACAGTTTATAATATTTAGCTCTCAGAAGTTTGATTCATCTGGCTAGCCATCCATCTGAGTTAAATACCATGGTTTAAAATGTTATTGGTAGATTGTGTTGGCAAACATTATCCAATATTATAATCCATCCAAGCTGCTAAAGTCCTAAATCTTACTTTAGTCATGAATCTCAATTAACTTCATCAGCTGAAAAAGACAACCCTCTAGTCTTCCAAAAGGATATGTTCCCTCTGGTACCATCAGTACATTAAATGGGAACCATTTTGTATTCTTAGAGTCATTTTTCACCCAGAGGTAGAGCATGCCTGAGGTTAATAACCCTCATCAAGATGGTGTGCAAAGTGATCCTATATAATAGTCTAATAAGCCTTACTTTACCTACAGCTCCTGAAGGTCAAATACCTAGTACAGAATTTTATATAATAGAATGCTGTCCTTGGCATGGATACCTATATATTGGCTTATTAATCTGGGATGTTGGTGATCTTTCTAACTGTGGGGGCCAGCCTTGCTCTGCCCTTTCCCAACTACCTTCTCAAGCCCTTTAAACCACCTTCTAGCCATGGATTAACATCCTGGCTAGTTCTGATCCTGATAACTGGAGTTTCCCAGGTTGGGCATAATGGCGAAACTAGGTTAATTAGCTCAGGAAGATTGAATCACAGCATACCAGGAAAAGAGGAGCCAAGAGGCAGCACAGTGGTGGAACACATACTTAAGAGGCTGGTGAAAATATTGCCTGAATCACTCAAAAGTTGAAGCCCCACTACCCAAAATGCCCATCTCTACCAAATCCCCCACAATGAATCCTCATGGGGAACACTGGATCGAGTTGGCTATTGGAGGAGGCACTTGGGGCCTGAGTCATTTCAGCTTTTATAAGTTATGACCCTAGGTCTCTGTAATTCTTAGCAAGCCAATGCAGTGCTTTTAGGATTGCTGTTATATTCTCCCATCTTGCTGCCCCAGCTAATGACATGCCAATAGCATTCTAAGCTTGCTGTAGCTTCCAGATAGTTTTCATGGGAAGCCCCATGTAATCTGAGTGCAAAGTCATCAGAGCATGAATTGCTGATACCTGCTTATCTTGGTCCAACAACAGCCATAGTCAGTGAACCAACTGGAGCTGGAAATAGGCAATCTTCGACTGTGAGGCCTCCTGAGTCTCTAGTGGCAACATCATGTCAAGGAATGTACTCTCAGGTTTCGTTACCAGGAAATGAATATATATCTATCTCTTGTCAAATCACCAAATAGGCTATATAATTTTGTCGACCTATATATGCACATATTGCATATGCATAATAACCAAATATTTGTGAGACAAAATGAATATTTGTATGGAAGAATTGCTTTTAAATAAAATAGAAGCAACCCAATCAATATTCAGAAAGTAAATTGCAAACCTGTCTGTCTGTTTCACACCATCCAGTGATGCGCTATGCAGTGAAATAATTTATGCAGCGAGATTGTGAAAGTTCCATTTGAAGATAACATAATGAACATGCTTCAATTCCCCCCTTAAATGACTTGCTTTTTTTATTTCCGCCAAAGTGCTAGTAAGAAACAAGAATAAATTACAGCGTGTTGTTGTTAAACTATTATCGTGATGCTTTAAGATACTCTCCATGGTGCATTGAGCTTGAATCACACTGACCCATTTTGAGTTGTGGTTAGGTCACTCTGACAAGGAAAACTTGTTGAGATGTGAATCAAAGCATATGCTGTGAGGGAATGAGTAAGTTCAGAGTCCAAAAGGCATTTTTTGTAAGCAAATGCCTGAAATAAACTCATATATTTACTAAAGAGGAGTTGCATTTAGCTATTCTTTACTCAGAGTAGACCTGTTGAAATTAAAGACCTTGGGAATATTTTAGTTTAGAGAAAAGGTGAGTAAGAGGTGAGATGATAGAAGATTATAAAATTCCGCATGACACAAAGAAAGTGAATAGAAAGAAGTTTTTCTCCCTCTTTCGTAACACTAGAACATGTCGACATCCAGCAATGCTGAATGTTGGAAGTTTGGGTACAGATAAAAGAAAATACTTATTCATGCAGCGCATCATTTAACTATGGAACTCACTACCACAGGAGGCACCAACTTGGTTGGCTTTAAAAGAGGGTTGGGTGGCTATCTTCTGCCTCCAGTCAGGCAGTAATGCTCCTGAATACCAGTTGCTGGAAAGCACAGGAAGGCAGAGTACTCTTGTGCTTCAGTTCTGCTTGCAGGTTTCTCACAGGTATCAGGGTGGCTACTGTGAGAACAAGATGTTGGACTACATGGGCTACTGGCCTGACCCGGCAGGCTTTTCTTACATTTAATGGCCATGACTAACTTAGGTCCAGTAATTTCAAGTGGTCTACTCCGAGTGAGAGTTGATTGAATACAACTCAATGCCTTTTGTATTCAGGACGATATCAGGATTTGCCCCGCTTTTACTGTATTAAAAGAGGTAATCCATCATGATCAGGCCAGATTCTTGCCAAGGCAACAAATGAAGGACATTATTAGGAATATAATTTATATAATAGAATATTTAAAAGTGAGGAATGAAACATAAGCAGCCTTAATGTTTTTAGATGCAGAGAAAGCATTTGATAATGTCTCCTGGGATTTTATGTTTAAAGTTTTAGAGTACATGAGCTGTGGAGACACTTTTATAAGAGGAGTCAAGGCAATATATACCAAACAGTCAGCAAAATTGATAGTAAATGATGTGTTGACTGAGAATTGCAAAATAACTAGAGGAACAAGACAAGGCTGCCCATTGTCACCCTTGTTTATATTTTTTTAAAAAGGATTTGCCCCGCTTTTGTAGGGCATACTAGTTACCTGGGAATACATTTTCAAGCTGCTGATCCAATAAAAAGACACAACAGGAATTTTATATTCAAGACTGCAAAAACTGGGGCTTTCCAGCACATGGTAAGCCACAATGCCAGGGCTTTGCTCAGCACGGCAAGATGGTTTGAGCATATTACTTCGATCCTGGCCCAACTACATTGACTGACAATTAGCTACGAACCCAATTCAAAGTGCTGGTTTTGACCTATAAAGCCTGAAGCGCCTCAGGACCACAGTAGCTCAAGGAACGCCTCTCCCCATATAAACCAACCTGGATTCTGCAGTCATCACCTGAGGCCCTTCTTTGTGTGCTTCCTTCATGAGAGGTCCAGAGGGTAACAACATGAGAACAGGCCTTTTCGGCAGTAGCTACCTGTTTGTGGAATGCTCTCCCTAGGGAGGTTCAGCTGGTGCCTTCATTATTTTTAGGCTCCAGGTGAAAAGGTTCCTCTTCAACCAGGCCTTTGTTTTTGTTTTAACTATTTGTTTGTGTTTTAGTTTGTATTTTTATCTTGTGAACCACCCTGAGATGAAGGGCAGCCCTGAGATGAAGGGCAGTGTCTAAATCTTAAAACAGGCTGCATCCATCTTGGTAGGTCAGAAGGAGTGCAGACTTACAGTTTGGTCCATGGGGATTCAACAAAACAATGTGCGTAAAGAATAGTGGGACACGTGCAACTAAGATGCTCAACACCATTATTAATATGGGCATCATCCATAAATTCATGGTGATCCTATTTAGCTGGTGTAGTTAATGTTTACCACCAATGATGTATATTATTTAATACCCTTCCACTCTGAAAGCTTGCAGTAGATAAGAAAAGATAATCTTATGCATAATAAATGGACGGAGTGAAAATGGAATGCTTTAAATATTAACATTTCTGTGTCAGCATTTTGGTAACATCCTTAAGTTTTATAGGCAGTGAGTTATGAACTAAATAACACAATGAAAAACCTATGATGAAAGAAAGTGAGCAGTTTTTGATTTATGAGGAAACAAGATTTTTTAAAGCAAAATTGCACACCAGAGAAGTATTTTATTTTTTAAAAATTTAGCATTTTTTTTTTTTTTTTAAAATTTTTCTTTTTTATTTTTGTTGTTAAAAAATGTAGGCACACCCTGATTGTATTACCACTGTATGTAGCATCATTGTTTCACTCAGCCCTGACCTGTTGTGGCTTCCAAGTCTGAAAAAAAAATTCTAAGAACTAGCTTGAATTTTTTGGTAGGCTAGCATCAATGTATAGGTACTAGCCCAGGCAGCCCATAATAAATATATCATGTTCTTAGGTACCACTTGTGTGAATCTTCATTCATTCATGTATCACCTTTCTGCCAAAGCTCTCAGGGAGGTTTGCAGTGGAAAACAATGTCTTACAAACTATGATACAAGAGGAAGAAGAAACAAGGAGGGATGAGAAAAATAAGGAGAGGTGAAGCCAAAATGGCAGTTGATCCCAGTGGAGGAAGGCTTTGGCTGGCCCATCACCTCTCCTCAGATTCAGGCAGGTGGCACAGCTGTGGATGGAGGCAGTTCTGCACCTGGCATTTATTATCCCGATGGTATAATAGTTCATTTGAGGATCATTGTTACCACCACTCCAAACCCTACAACATTAGTCACAGATCTAAAGGAAATATAATTCCTCTTCACAAAGTTTCAGTATTAATTCAACTCTGTAATTTGCTGTTGCAAGATAAGGGGTAGATTGGACAAATTCATAGAGTTGGAGTGACAAGCATGTCACCCATGGGTGCTTGAGTACCTCTTGGAGTGTTCATGAAACATGTTGGTGAATACCCCCTCAATAATCCACGCCTTGTGAAAAATATTGTTTTTTCTTGCTGCTCAGTTCCTGTTTGCAGGGTCTTGGGCTCTCTGACATTGAAAACACCCCCTTTTAGCATGTTCACATTTCATTGGATGCTGGGATTCTGCACCCACCTTCCCTTCTGTTTTCCGCTGAGGCGGTGGCTGATGTTTGGAGGTGTATTTGAACACTCCTCAGTCCAGTTATCTTCTCTTCTGTAGGCTAAGCATGTCTGAACAATAGATAAAGCTCTATCTACTGTAAGGCCTATTTAGCAATAGTAGGAGTAGTGATAATATTGCTATAAAGTTACATTTTGTATGGTATCAAATGCTGCTGAATGGCTACCCTATAATTTACGACGACATTTTCCTCTCCTCTTCGCGACTTTGGACTTGACAGGTACTGCATTGGTTGTCCAGTGGGATCACGTACATCTACAGGATAATTACAATCTGGGCAGTTTCACATTTCAAGCAACACTTCTCAACGATGGACGTATCATATTTGGCTATAAAGAGGTGAGTTCAAGCACAGAAATGATTTACTAAATTTAAAATCCTGCTCCGTTCAAGCAGCTGAAATATTTAAAAAGCGACAGCCCCAGTGCTCTGCCATCTTAACGCAGAAGACTTTTTTCTCTGCCAAGACTAGATGCTACTGTTCAAAGGATGCTCTTTGCCCATCTAAGAGATTCCTGTGGGGAACAATCAGGGTAATCCCAGGAGAGAGGGAGGACTAGGCAAAACTACACGGTGCCTCACTTGCCCCCCAGTAACATTTTTACACAGACCAAATCTGCCTCCAGAACTAATCCAGGAAATGAAGAAGCTACAGCTGAAAGCATTGGGAGGTATGGCACAGTGGTTAGAGGTTTTAGTGAGGAATTATTCTCCCCACAAGAAAGAAAAAGGAACAAAGAGTGTGCAGAAAATTACTTTGACTGTTAACTGAATATAGAGTACAGATATAATGCCATTTGTTTAAGATTACTTGCAGTGATTTTTTTTTTATTTAGAGCAAATAAACATTACTGAGCTAGTTGAATTCAGGATTTGGGGGTCCCAAATCCTCCTTTTTGAATGCAGTTGCACCCCGTCCTCCCACACCAACCCTTTCCTGGAGCTGCAAAGGGGTTTCTGGGTATCTGTGCAGCCTCTGCCCAGGCACCGGGCGAGTTGACATCACATTAAGGCACCAGGCTGATTTCATGATGGAAAGCTTAGAGGAGAGTTTGGATGGTGTTAGAGCAATCTAATGGGTGTAAATAGTACTCTGCTCACAAGGGAGTTTCTTTGTGTTCAATATAGCATCAGAGAAGATTACTGCAGCTTCTTCTAAGATACAGCATGAGGGAAACCGGCAATCCCATTTTATGGAATAAATATTGTGTACTAACTTGCCCTGATGTTTCACTGCTTACATCCCTAGGCCCTTTAATGTGACAGTTTGGCTGTCTTTTTAGTTAAATATACCGTATTGGCCTGAATATAAGCCTCTCTTTTTTCTCAAATTCCAACCGTGAAAAGTTAAAGTGCGGCTTATATACGCGACCTTACGGTATGCAGCCAGGAGTGCAGGGCAAACAGCGCCAGGAGTGCGGCAAAGCAGCGCCCGGCCTGCGCATAGTCCCCCGTCCTCTTCCCCAAGACTGGGAAGTGAGAGAGCAAGGAAAGGGAAAGGCCGCCGGCAACACAGCGTGGCTCTTCCCCCCCCCCCCAAGTATGTACCCAGGAGCAGCAAGGAAGGGAGCGGCTTATATTCTAAAGGTGCGGCTTATATTCAGGTGCGACTTATATTCGGGCCAATACAGTAATAGCTCTGTGTGCTCTGCCATACGATTTGGGTTTGGTTTGGAGGGTTCAAGCCTCTTGGAAGAGTTTGGATTTGATATCCCGCTTTATCACTACCCGAAGGAGTCTCAGAGCGGCTAACATTCTCCTTTCCCTTCCTCCCCCACAACAAACTCTGTGAGGTGAGTGAGGCTGAGGAGCAGGGAATCGAACCCGGTTCACCAGATTACGAGTCCACCACTCTTAACCATTATACCATACTGGCTTACAAGCTTAGCACCCATGGAAATAAGAGGTGAGGTCCTGTCTTGCCCAATGCAAGGTGGTATTTTTAATGAGATTCAGAAGCAATACAAGCACAAGTGAGTGAAAGGTTAAAGATTTTATTCTAAACAGCAAGCATTATATACATTACCAAGCAAGCACTTCAATATGCCACTGGGAATTTCTCAAGAAGTGGCGAAGTGACATCTCAGTAGCCTTCGTTTGCACAGCCCTTCGATCAGTCCATGAATCTCAGAACTATGCCCAAAAACCATCCGATTTAAAGATAGCTAACTTGTTAGCCTACATGCCTTGCCAGACTAACTAGTGCAGATTATTAATTAGCTAGCCCCCTCTTCCAATACCGCACATTCCTCCAAACAATGTCTACCATCAAAGAAGGTCAGAAGGTTACCCATCACTTTCACTTCTTCCTTCTACCAGGTTATGCATTAAAGGCTGCTCTCAACCATCAAATAACTTTAACAAGAGATGTAGAGGGGAATTAAACAGAAGCAGGAAGAGATGACCAAGTTTGATCACTAAACTCCTTAAAATACAAATATATTCTGGATAGATTGCCCATACAGGTCCTCTTGTGGAAGGGGGAGTTACTGGTTTGCTTTGCTTTTGTTTATTGTGTATTTTGTGTCTTCATTTTGTATTTTCATGTTGCCCTGTGATCTTTGGATGAAGGGCGGTATACAAATTTAATAAATATTTTTTAAAAAATCTGATGTGGTTGGACAGAGCTGCCCTCCAGACACCAGCGCTGTGGCAGCTTACCAGGATGGGCCAGGGCGGTGGCCAAGTCAGGATTGTATGGATGCACCAGTTGGAAAAGCCAGGCTGGCACCACATTTGTATCTGGGCAGCCCTGACCCTGCCACCGCCCCACCCCAGGCCAGCCCAGGTCAGCTGCAGTGATGGGAGACCAGCTCTGGGTTGCCCCATCAGCTGCTACTGACTTGCACCTGCCAGCCAACTCTAGTAATGTCTCAGCTGGCACTGAAAAAAAGCATTCTCCTGGCTATGGTTTCTATGACTCTCATGTGCCGTAGGAAGTTTTTGTTTCAACCAATAAATATTAACATGAAAACAAATCATTTCTTCTGTCAGCTTGTCCATTGTCATCAGATGCTGCCCTAGCCTTTTCGTCACACCGTAATGATTTTCTTGTCAACTGTTCACGGCATCAACATAAATAGTAGATCCAGTTTTTTAAAAGGAAAATTAAGCACTGATTCACCCTTAAAAATACAAGGCACAATGTCAGGACCTTCTAGAGCTGTTGTTCTCAACTGGGTGCTTCTGCCCCATGTGGTGGGTTATCAAAACTGCAGCTTGGAAATATCTTGCTGATACTCTCTAGCTAGTGAAGAACATGTTGCTTGTGAAATGATCTCAGGCTGTGAATTGACCCTGCCCACCAAGGCTTGTCATTAAGCTGTCCTAGACCAGAAGGACTTCCTTGTCTGTCTGGGACTATGTCTGGGCAGCAAGGTGTTTTTGGCTCTGGCTTGGCTTTGTGTGGGCCTTAGCAGTGACACCTGGTTTAGTCCTCCAGTTCTGCTTCCTCAACTCAGCTCCTGCCTTCTGGGTCCCACCACTGTCCCTGGCAAAACAAACAAGATGAATTTTAACAGGGAGAAATGTAAAGTATTGCACTTGGGCAAAAAAAATGAGAGGCACAAATACAAGATGGGGGACACCTGGCTTGAGAGCAGTACATGTGAAAAGGATCTAGGAGTCTTGGTTGACCACAAACTTGACATGAGCCAACAATGTGACACGGCAGCTAAAAAAGCCAATGCAATTCTGGGCCTCATCAATAGGAGTATAGCATCTAGATCAAGGGAAGTAATAGTGCCACTGTATTCTGCTCTGGTCAGACCTCACCTGGAGTACTGTGTCCAGTTCTGGGCACCACAGTTCAAGAAGGACACTGACAAACTCGAACGTGTCCAGAGGAGGGCAACCAAAATGGTCAAAGGCCTGGAAACGATGCCTTATGAGGAACGGCTAAGGGAGCTGGGCATGTTTAGCCTGGAGAAGAGGAGGTTACGGTGTGATATGATAGCCATGTACAAATATATAAAAGGATGTCACATAGAGGAGGGTTAGTCCCTCCAGTTCTGATTCCTCAACTCAGCTCCTGCCTTCTGGGTCCCAGCACTCAGCTGTCCTCTGGCAGTAGCCTCTGAGTCATTCTTGACACCCTTTGTATTTTCCTCACTCCTGCTTTACTCATGGGACTTTCCTACTGTCAATTGCTCTTCTCAGTAGGCAGCCCTTGCCAAAACAGCAGCATGACCTAATGATGTGGACTGGGCGCTTTTTATCTTTCTTCCTCTGCAACACCTATGGTTCACAGTAAAGTTTGTCAGGAGGCAGATATGAGCACTGTGTATATTTTGGGGAACAAAAATGAGCAGTTAAATGAGGGCAGGCCGTTGCAGGCCAACCAAAGTTTGTAACAAACCATAGTTGGTTTGATCCTGATTTCACTATGGTTTCTACAAACCACTGTTTCTTGTTCTTGGATTAAATGGAAACAGTGGCCTGTATGAAATATTGTTAACCATGATTAACTATTGTGCTGCTGGAGGTGAAATTCCTGGACGATGCACAAGGCAAACCACAGTCAAAAGCATTTGCATAGAATGTTTTCATTAATCAAGTATGATATTGGGCCGATCAGTGCCTCTCAGCCTAACCTACCTCACAGGGTTGTTGTGAGAATAAATGGGGAGTGGGAAAACCACCTTGAACTTCTTGGAAGAAAGGTGGGATATAAATGTAATGATAAACAAACAAACAAACAAACCAGGTTCAAACCATATCCTAGTTTGTTAACTAGCAAAGTTTTGCATATCCAGATGAAACAAGAAACTGTTGTGTTACAAACTGTGACCAGAAGGTTTAAATCTGGTCCCATTTTGTGCAAAGAAGAGAGGAAGAAGGGGAAGCACATGAGCCCAAAATTCATGAAAGCATGTTGTGATGCTTGAATGTCACTACTGTCTCTTAGAAGATAAATCATCATGGGATCCAGCCACTTCTGGCTCCTTTCCAGCATCACATACCTTTGTTCATGTAGCCAAAGAAACTCTTCACATTGTATCCCAGAACTATTTTCTGTTTCCTTCCTCACCCACAATATATTCTGCAAAGGCAGCAAATGTTACAACTTCTGTAATGGCTCCTTGGTGATTATATGACTGGAGGCTCATTACTGCCTAAATGAGCAGGCAAGAGTTGTCGCCTTAGGAAAATTCAGAAAAAATTACACCAAATAATGTAGAGATATTTCAGTGGTGGTTTATTATGTGTGGAAGACTTGCAGCACTGAACATTAGCACTACTTACAAGCATTATTTTGTTCCCGCTTATGCAAAGATTAAGTGATTGCTTTCTGCAATAGACATCACAGCTCTTTAAAACAAAACTATTCTTAGATTCACTATATTAGTCCACTTCCCTCTCTTAGCCAAAATGGGTTATCACTTTTAGTGCTTACAAAAGTTAACAGAGTTTCTATGAAATATTCAGTAATAGAAACGGATTTCATTTCCCAATGTAATATAGTTTCTGTGTGGCTCGGTGTGCAGAATTGTATTAGGTGTTAGCAAAACAGCATTAAGAGGAGCCTGTTTACACAATAAGCAAGCTAAACTGTTTGAGGAAAAAATATTCATTGTACTTCAAGGTTTTGCGAGTTTCTTCCCTGCAGTGAATTGACAATGAAGCCTATAATTGGCTGGCGCAAAGTAAATTTACTTTCTCCTCGTTGATTACTGAAAGGTAGGCTAGAAATTGTAATTGCTAAAGTACTTATGAGGGATTGATTAACAAGTCCATCAAAACTGAAGTACTAAACCAGAGCCAAATCTCATAGTACACTTCAGTATTATTTTCGTCAGCTCCCATCCAGCTGTCCCTTTCATTAAAAGGAAAAATAAAAGGCCTAAAGGTGCTGTACAGAGAATCTAGATAATGTGAAGACAATTCAAGGTTGTGCTGGTGAGTAGAAATGTCATTACAGGTTGGCATCACTGGGCAACTGCCTATTGGTGGGGGTTCAGATGCATTGCTCTGACTCTGTTTAGCATTTGACTCTATCAATTAAATTGTAGGGTACAGGTAGGAGAGAGCATTTTATATATAGGTATGCATATGGCATTTGTCTATTTTTGTCTTGCAGATTCCTGTCTCAGTGACACAGATCAGTTCAACCAACCACCCTGTGAAGGTGGGCCTGTCAGATGCCTTTGTGGTTGTCCACAGGATCCAGCAAATTCCCAGTATGTTTTTTTAAATGCATGCTAATGAATGTTACGTAAGCCTGTGTGTGTGTTTGAAAGGGAAGGGATGATTGAGTGGAAAGCAAATTTAAAGAGATCAAAAATATGTTTTAACTAAACAGAAAATAAAATGCTTATGAAGTCTCAGTTTGTTAATTTAAATATAATTTCATTTTGGTTTACAACTCCCACAGTTGTTCATTGCTTCATTGTTTGTCTTGAGCTGATAAAGTCAAATGTGGCTGTTAGCCCAAAGGGGGAGATGGTATAATTCTGTATTCCATGGGATACTCCTTCATGTTTTCCAGAATAGTAATTGTATGGTTGTGGTTTTGTTGTTATTTCTTATTTTGCTTTGGAAGAGGCAAAGAAATTGGACATAAGATGCCTTTCTAAGCTGGCTGAAATAAATTAAACAATGTTTATCAGAACAGCGTGCAGTAGCAAGCGTGGTTCCCTCCTGATGTTGTCGGACTACAGTTACCATCATCCTTCATACTAGCTGAGGCTGATGGGGCTGCAACATCTAGATGGCTCCATGCTGGCTACCACTGGAATAGATTTGCTTTGAAGAAAATTCCATACATTGTTTTCATTGTCTTGGAATTTCCCATGGGCAGTTTCTTCATTCTTTGAAGGGAGATTAAGGAGCCTATACCCGGCTGGTCACGTAAATTTGTTGAAATTAACTAATCCCAGCTGATCACGTAATTGTAACTGTTCAGCAGTACAGATTTCCCTTTCATTAAGACAGCACAGTTTAGAGCAAATATAGGATACCTTCATTAAAAACCAAGGAAAACATCTCGCAGTGTGTTAATAATACTTTGGGCACCATCTTCTTTGCTTTGGCTCTCCGGTTTAGCTTTCAAGGTTGAAATTAGTATTCACTCTTCCTTTTGTTGGCAGACTAATGATTACAGACCATCCCTTTCCAGTGTCCTTGCTGCGTATCACAGCACAGACCATTAGAATCAACACTTTCATGGCACTTCCATGCTTAGCACTATCGTGGCCCTGATGTGTCAACATGGTGTAGGAGGGTATGCTTTGCCTAAGGAATGATATCCCTTTCTAGAAAGCTGTTTCTAGAAGGTCTTACGTGTTGCAGAGGGACCTTGAACAGAGGCACAGGAGGCTGGGCAGCCAGCAGCCCCACAGCTTCAGGATTTGGAAACAAAAGTACTGGCAGCTATTTGAGAATTCTTCTTTGTAAAGGGTGGGGACATAGCTGTCAAGCGTCCCTTATTTGGCGGGACAGTCCCTTATCCTAGCGCCATGTCCCGCTGCTGTCCCTTATTGATGATGTCCCTTAAATTTCCCGGGTTTCAAAGGAAGCAGCTCCTTTCCCTCCCTGCCGGCCAGGGAGGAGGGAGGCTCCAACTGTGTTGCTTGGCCACATTGCTCACCCAATAAAGAGTCTAAGAATGACTGGGGGGTGGAGCTTGCATGCCTTGTGCCGATCAAATCAGCCACGTTGCTGGGGACTCGCCTTTGCTCAGCACTTCCCAGCGGAGAGGTGACGGTGGTTTTCCTTGCTGTATCCCCTTTGCCGGGTTGCTGCACTGTGGGAACCACCGCTTGAGGCTTCGTCTGGCTGCTGGCTGGGCTTTCTGCCTTTGGCTCTGAGGGGCTCAGAAGTTGAACATACCTGTGCCCGGAAAATCCCTTATTTTGGTTGCTGATCCCTTATTTTCGAGGCTGCTGGTCCCTTATTTTCAAATCTGTAAGTTGACAGCTATGGGTGGGGATCCCACTTCCTATTAAAAAAATTGTTTCTTTTGGCTCCTTTGGTATGTAATATTCAAGAAAAGGCTCATTCGTCGCTGTCGTTGCAAAGCAGATACATATTTTTGAAACTGCAGGCAATATACCACTCTCCTGACAAAATAAATCAAGTTGGGCCAAAGAGAGCCTATGTCAGCTTTTCCTTAAGTGTGCATGTTCTTGCATTCTTGTCTTTTCAAAGATGCTAAACGGGCCATAAATCAACCCAGTCAATTATTGCAAAAGGGAGATGTGAGAAAGTTTTCCTTAGCCTGTTAGATGGTTCTGTTGGACTATTTGTTTCTTGCAGGAGGCGTAGAGATATATAAGCATTGTTCTATATCTCCTTACACCTAAATACATAAAGGGCTGAATCCCAGGCTGGGCAAGAAATAAAATCGCAAGCTCTTTACAATCAGATAAAAAGGAATAAATAAAAACACAGGAGAAACTTTAACATTTCAATGTATATAAAAGCCATAGAACCTTACTTCTTCATGTAAACACTAGGAGCCTACAGATGCCCAAACAAACAATTGGTGCCAGAATGATAAAAAAGCATACGCACCATATGTGATTCCAAGGGAGGGCATTCTACGGATAGGGCATCACCACAGAGAATGGGTCTCTCTCTTTATTAGCATGCCTGTGCCCTAAAATTAGCAGGAGAGGCCCTACCCTACTTTTAAAGTAGAGTTGTACTTTTTTCTTGGTTTTATGGTTTTATCTTTTGTATACCACTTTGAGGTTTTTTTACATTCGAGTGGTGTATGGATTTTATGAAATAATTAAATTAACAAACTGAGGATTCTGCCACTGGGAGGCATACATTATGCAGTGATGCAGGAAAGGGCCATTTCTCCCAGTCCCCCACCTCCTGCATCGGCCATACCCATTTTCTGCCAGTTTCCCCATCCTTTGCTCCCTACCCACTTTTCTAGAAGTCCAACCCTTCCCTCTGGGGCAACTTTTTGTGAGCCAAATGCCATGGGGAGAAATCCCAAGACCATTCACACAACTCTCGTATCTTTAATGAAAATAATTATTGGGATGAGGCATAGCAAAACATGTATTGGCATACAGATTGCTATGATTCTATTGCAGATATAGTATAGAATTGGATGGATGGATGGATGGATGGATGGATGGATGGAAACAGTAGCACAACAGATGTACACAAATTCATAAATTAGCAAAAGAATTTTTGGACCAGTACATAATTCTGCACAGTCCCGATTAATAATAATTGGCCTGAAGCCCAGATATAGAGTAGATAAAAGACAATTTGCCCTGTGGTAACTTACTGAGCGATGACAACCATCGCAAGGAGAATAAAGCTGCAATTCCATACACACTTGCCTGGGACTAAGTCCCATTGGGCTTATTTGGATATTTCTGAATAGACATGGATAGAATTTCTCTAATATCAAGCCACATGGCATGGAGTTTTTATTATAACTCAGCAACCACTAACACTGGACAGGGGTGGGGTAGGGTGGGACTCACTCAGGGCAATGTGGCCACAGGCACCACCACTGTTTTCGGCATTGGGGACTGAACCATTTTAAAAGGCCTTTAAGTCTCCTTAAATTTGTATTTGTTGCACTCTGTCAAAAACACATATGGGCTATGATAGATGGGGAATTTTTATAACAGAGATCCTTGGCGCACAGAGCATATTCACACTGGCATATAAATTAACCTGCAGGAAGTTGCCTGATAGTAATCTCTAAAGAAAATCTTCACTGTCAAGACAGTCGTTTTCTGCAGCAGTACTGTCACTGACTAAATTTAAGTTAGGACCATGGATCCACACCTGTTAGATTTCACTGAATGCATTCGAGGGGGGAGGGATTTAGCACTTCTCCTGCCTTTAATAGTCCAGGTTGTGTGAACAAAGGGGCAGTGAAGGTGTGCTAAGGGGTAATTAATCTGTGTTAAGTGATCTTGAGCATAGACAGTATAAATATTGATCTAGCCTACAGGATTTTTCCATAGATGGCTAAACATTGAGACAGTTTATCGCCTCGGTTGTAAGAAAGAATCAATTCAAATGATTGTCTTAGAAATAAATCATTCACTCGTATAGTTATCCTCTTAAAATTGAGATAGATAGGAATATAACAAACTTTTAATCTCTTTGATAATAACTCACAGAAATCAATGACTTTGGATTCAGTTCAGCCATTGGTTTCTCCTACAAACTCAACATAAGACATTCAGTGATGAGTGTCACTCAGAAATCTTTAAATGTATGATATAGCCATATAACAAAAAACAGACCCAATGCACTCCCCTGGGCTCTGAGTGAAGAAAGCAGATACACTGTGAACACACACCAATATACTTGAGCAGAGCTTTGGAAAACTCAAAGAGGAGTACAGGGAAGGAGGTCCAGTGGGTGGTTCTGGAGGAACAGATCTTAAGGATTGGAGCCTAAAATAGATTAAGTAACTAAAGTCTCCCATCTTGTTCAACCCTCTTCAACTACCGGTACCTATAACCCACCCGCTCCAAAAACCTCTGAAGGGTGTGGCGTTTAATGAAAAATGTTGAATGAGGTGACACAGAAGCTGTTGGGGTTAAGGAAGCAGCAGGAAGCTTTCTTCCTATCAACTTCCTTAAGTTAAGCAACTTCCCTGTTTCCTATCTCATGTTGTTCAGAAGGACTGCTGAATCTCCAGAGAGGCTTTCTGGGGACAGAGGGAAGGAGGGTACAGGAAAGATTTCTTCTGTGAAGTTCAACTTACCTTAAAAACCAAGACCAACTGGGAGAAGTTCTCTACTCCTCCTGCAGCCCATCCAACATTGCTCAATAAGTTTTCATATGTGAAAGGGGAAGAAGCTGTGTAAAACTCTGAACTTCCTTAATGCAGGTCAGATTGAGGGCAGCTCTTCCCTCTCCCTGTAGCCCATTCCACATTGTTCAGGTGGGTCCCCAACCTTCCAGCTAAGGTTTATGGGGATGTGGGGAATAGGAAGGGAGAGCACACTTTCCTTCCATGAACTTCCTTCAGTTAACCTATAGATAGATAGGAGAAAGAGGGCTTGGTAGCACATTCCTAATCTGTGCTGTGACATTGCCTTCTCAATTTAGGTGTCAGGCGTTGAAAGCAGTGGCTGTAGTGCAGGTTCAAGTCCTTCAGTCTTGTTCTTCCTGACTCTCTAGCTTCCTGATCTATGGTTTCTTCTTCTTCATTCACTGACTGGAGAAAGTTGCAGGGTGCCAACTC